TATGAGATGTCTCCGACATAAGTGCTTTTATATTCTTGATGTCAGTTTGAAGGGGCTACTTGGTTGGTTTTGTACACTTCCGACATTTTCAAATTTCACATGACTTTATAGAACTATAGCAATTATTTCACTCAGCGCCAGTATTGTAGCTATTTTAAGAAGCTTCTTTTTCTCTGCACAGAAATAACAGATTTTGATCAAACAAAGATAGTGAATTCTTTCTCAATCATATATAAGAAAGATAAATATCTATAAATGAATTTTTTGTAAAAAGTATTTTTAAGTTTGCTTTTGTTCACTTGGAAATCTTTTTAAAGGCTCGTCAAAAGAAAAAGGGTTATTATTTGGTTTAAGTTGTATTTGCTGTTTTGTCCTACTCGAAAAGCAAAGCAACGGATGGTTTTGTTATTTGTATTATATTAGTAGTGGATTTTCTTTTCTTTTTTTAATTTTTTTAATTTTCATATAAATGTTTATTCCTTTTAGTAAGTTCACAATGTTGTTGACATCTGCAGACTTCTTTTATATTCTGCATCTGATAATGTTGTAATCGAGTTTGGTTAAATTCTTTGACATTTTTGACATGTTGGAGGGGTTCATTTTAGAAAAATGAGAATGTATGAGATAGGTTTGGCTGAATTTGAAGCTTTGGTCAGGACGGACGCCCCCTCCTACTTTCATTAATTTTCCTACATTCCTGGGGCCATTTTTTGATGGTCGGTTGGATATTTCACAAATAATTTATTGTTCGGCTATTCGTTCTATTTTTTTTGCCATTCGCCCCTTATATGCTTATTTATTTTAGGTTTGTAGTCTGAATAAGAGATTTTGAATTCTTTTTTTTTTATTTAGTGTTGATCTGGCTGCTATGTCCCTTTTTTTCATTTGAACGAATTAAAAATGGCTTGGATTTATGTCAGAAAAGAATTTGTTTATTTTTAATTATTGCATGACGTCTGTTTAGTATGTTGATTTGCAGGGCAGGGAGGTTCTTGTTTCCTATTTTTTATGGATTTAAGGGATAATATTGAGTCTGAGAAAAGTTTTAAAAATTTACTTTCCGGATTCGATTTCTATTTAAATATGAGAAAATATAATCAATAATAGGTTTAGAATTTACTTACGATAATGAATGAAATCGAAATTTGTCATAGTAGAGTCATTCGTTTTTCCAGTCAACATAGTTTATCTTCTTCCAGAACGAGTGAATTTAGTAATAAATAATATCTATTTTGATGTTTTTTTAATATTCCACATCAAAGAATAAAATATTCCTGTTCGATTCTGAAGAAAACTGACTTTCCCTAATCCTCCATGGACGAGATTCAATACGTCTCAGTCTGTTTCTATTTCTGTCTTCTTATATATATATATATATATATATATATATATATATACCGTATTTTGACGGCATATAAGATTGTATAAGACGCACCCCAAATTCAGCAGGGAAAATCAAGAAAATTAAAAATATTTTATTAAATTTACAGTCTAGGCATTTTTATATTTATAAGATATTATTTTTGGTTAAATTTTATTTTACAATTAAACGAAAAATTTAGAAAAAAAAGAACAAGAGCCTATAAAACCTTTTTATATCATTTCTTTAAGAAAACTGTTGTGGTAGGATCCACCTAATTTGCATAGTGGAGTACCGACCATATAAATATGGTTGGTACCGGGAAGAGAGGGAGGAATCAAGAGATTCAACCAGAGACTCTGCCCGACTGCGACTCAGTCAACACATTCTCCAGGAAGGGTCTTACCAGGAATATACAAAAGACTATATGTAAATATTGTGTACACTTTCTTGTTTCAATACATTTTGTTCTAAGTACATTTTGTGTTGCATTATTATTCCATGCATTAGTCAAGTTTCAACAATTAATTTCGCCATTTCTTTCTATCTTTTTCAAACTTTACCTTTTGAAATATGTCCCCTTAATATATTTAAAAACAAATTTATAGTGAGTATAAAATGTTTTAAAGAATAAAAATGAATAATATAACATGATTTTAAATAAATAAACTTTATAAACCAGATTTTATAGGCCAAATCAATATATTAACGGTTCTCCCTTGATCATTTCAATATACTTCTTGAATCTCTGTTGCTGTTGAAAGAAATGCAAATGACAATGTAATGAATTTTGAATTTTAATACGAGGATCTTTTCTTTATAACAAACCTGACTGGTCACAGTTTCTTGTCATATATTGCAACTAAAAAAAGGCTTCTTGAAAAATGCACAATCGAGGAAACTCTCTAATTGCCGAGTGAATTCTTTCCGGCATTAAATTTTTTCAATAAAAATGATTTCAAAAATAATGGTTGATTCCTCGTCATGAATGCGCTGCGAAAGGTCCTTACGAAAAATTAAAAAAAAGATTAGAGAAAAGTGTAACAGAAAATTTTGTCCTTTTTTTTGCGTTGAAAACGATATCCAAAAGAACAAATAAGATTTACAGCTAAAAAGTCGTTTCACATCTGGAATGTAGTGCTAAATGAATATTTAATTTAAATAGCAAATAAAATAAATCTACGAAATTCAGTTTTCTTCAGTCGATTCTCCTCAATTAAGTTAAAATATTTTTTTTGAATTAAATTTCAAGTTTGCTTTTTTTAAATTATTCCACCTGATTTTCCCCTTTTTGTTATAAAAGGCTAGATTTTAATATCAAAATATCAGCATCCAAAAATTTTTTGTTTTTCAAGAACTTTTGAAATTAAAATTTCAATGCTAAATAATAATAAAACTCGGCATTTTTTTTAAGAGCTTGGTCAATAAAATTTTTCAATTAAATTTTTAAAATTATTAATTTCATTTATTAAAATTCGATAACCGGAAATATTTTGAAAGATTATTGTTTTTTATATATCTTCTTCCTTATGTCATCTTTCCAAATAAAACACAATCAATTTTATAATTAAAGTGGCTTTATATAATTTTTCTTTTTTAATAAAAAGTTGAAATTGTGTAATTTTTCAAAAGTTCCATTTTAATCTACAAATAAAATAAAGGAATTCAATAAAAGCTGAGAATTGAAAATCTTCTACGTATTCCAAAGACGACTTTGAACAATAAAATTTTTGTTATATTCTAATAGTATTTTTATATATACCAATCGCTATCTTAAGAAAAGTAGAATATGGTAGCGCCATTTATGAAATAGTTCATGTTCTGTTCAAGAATATTGATTTGTTTTAAATTCAAAGATCTTTTTCTTTGAATTCAATAAAGAAAGATTTTTATTGAACAGCTCAATAAAAAGAAGTTTCTGTACAATTAAGAAATAGAACAATTTTATTTCTTCTAGACATTTATGTTCTAAATACAAATACAAAATGGTTTCTATATAATCCAAGAATATTTTGATATTAAAATTTGATATGAAAAAACGATTAATTTTTAAAATTATTTGCTTGCTAAAAAACAGTAGCCAACAATTTTGATTAACCTCTCAATCATTAAAATTTTCCTGTCAGTTAGGTTTAAAAAAGAGTGTTTTAATGTCCAGTCTTCTGAGGGAATCCATGAGGAAACTGGTATTTAAGGATTTACGTAACATGATTTAAAAATTTAAATCGGGAACGCTCTGAATAAAAAAAATACAAAAACAAATTATTAGGTTGGTATAAAAAATAATGTCGTTTTTTGACGTTCAACTTCTTTCTATCATAACTCCTTTTATAATAAACTTTATTAATCGAAA